CATATCAATACAGTATGTTATTAGTAATTAGATGTCACGTTTAAGTATCATAAATAGTATTAAGTGATTCATCAAGAAGAAAGATACAGATACAGACACAAATGACTCCATCGAACAAAAAACCTTTAATTAAGTGACCCTAGCCAGGTATATAACTGACCCTTGGCTCTATCGTGAGCCAGTTACGCAACCTGATTCCTCATATTCATTTATGCTTTTATAATGAGCTAGCTTTTCTAGGGTTTGAGAAACGTGGCAATGTCTGGTACCTAAGATTTTAAATATTAAATAACCATTCTTTTTATGTTTACACTTATTAATTTGACGTTTCTTCATAAACACGAATGAAAAAAATTAGATATCATAACTATGATACCAATTTGTTTCTGCCGACACATAAGAAATTGAGTAATACTACATGTGCGTCATTCTAATATAATATTTCTCATACAACATTATGTTATAAAATATGATTGACTAATTTAAAGTTAAAATTAAACTTTCACCCAATTATATCTTACCACCTAATATTGTATGAAAAATATTGTATGAGAATGATGTATGTGTAGTATTGTTGTAAGAAATTAGGAAAATTGATTGAGTTGATAGAAGAATATCTCAAAATCTCGGGAATATTTACTATTTATCCTTGATGGAATTTTTTTTATCATCGATGCATTTCACACATTAATTAAGAACTGATAGACATCACCTTCCTTATGTATGTATCACTCAAACCACATTAATTTGAATTGGTATCAGGGATGTTTGTCTGAGCTTATGAAAATTAGCTTATATGTAACAAGTGTTTATAAGTTAATTTTAATTTATAAATATTTGAAATTTTAAGCAATTACGTATTTGGTTAAAGTACTTATAAGTGACTGATAAGTAGTTGACGTGTTTAGTAAAATGTGGCTTATAAGTACATTTTATTATAAAATGATTAAAAATGATACTACATTAAATAATGGTATACTATGAAATTTTAAAATTAAACAAGGATAATGTGGTAATATACTTGATCAAACTAGTTTATAAGCAGAGTAATGGGGTGTTTGTCTAAGCTTATAAGCTGGTTAAACTAGCTTATAAACTCTAAAATTAAGCTGACTTGGTTGTTTATAACTTTTTTGAGCCTATAAGCCAAAAAAAAAAATAATAATAAGTTGGGAGGAGGTACTTTTTTTTTTTTTGTTTGTTTATAAGTACTCTGCTTATAAACTAGTTTGACCAATTATATTAACACATTATCCTTGTTTAATTTTAAAATTCCATAGTGTACCATTGTTTAATGTTGTACTATTTTTAGTCATTTTATAATAAAATATACTTATAAGCCATATTTTACCAAACACGTCAACTACTTATCAGTCACCTATAAATATTTTAACTAAATACGTAATTGCTTAAAATTTTAAATTCTTATAAACACTTGTTGCTTATAAACTAATTTTCATAAACTAAGACAAACACCCTCTCTCTCAGTCCCTTGGAGAGCTAACCAGAAGTTTGATGTAATTCTTTTCCGGAATAAAGGCAATTAAGTCTATGGACTTTGCCTCTTGTCAAATTTAGGAATATATCCCTTCTCTTTATGGAAACAACGAGTAAAATCATGAATAGAAGTCTCTGGTATATATCAATTACTAGGAATCTCACATCCTAATTCGAAAGCGGTAGAAAATTAGGAAATAGTTAGTGGTAAAAGATGATAGTTCTTTGAATTCATGGACAAATCAAAACTCATCTATTCTCTTTGTATGTGGTGAATTAGATTAATTGATGCTTTCTACAATTTTTTTTTTTTTTTAATGATCAAGGATATCTGGGTCAGATTACACGTACCTCAATTAATTCTGTGGAACTCTAGAATTATTGGTCAAATAAGAACTTCAATGGTTACCCTTGTTAGCAACTAAGAAGAAATTCAAATTTAAGACCTTTTGAATAACATACTCAAAAATCTCTATCGAACCATTTGGTCCTCAGAGTTAGTTTTTTTTTTGCATTATATTACAAGCATGCATATAGCATATGAATTAACGGGCGCAAGAAAGGAATCCTAAAATGTGTACGTACGTTAAGAATCATAATCTAGCAATGAGCGTAGATAATATTTGATATTGAAAAGTAGTGATGAAGTTAATTTGATTCAGTACTGGTCTCGATACTAAAGTGCGATCTACATATAGGGATTTAGGGTAGAATAGATATAGTTTCATTGCACTATAAAAGTGTTTGATAATTGTTACATACGGAGTGAAAGAGAATATTTATAATAGATGTTCACGATTTGATTTGTTTGGGAAATTGGATATAAAGTGGTAGGTCTGATTCTGAAGGTATCTTCTTCTTGTACGGTCATCAGATGGTCTTTTATAACAATATCTTATCGGAGGCAGATATAAGATATTACCCTTTAACTTTATAAGAAGCATCTATACTTTTACAAATTTCCCCTTTGTCAACTTTCCATCGGTTTTACTTTTCTATACTCAGAAAAATTGTTTCCCTATTGAACACTAATTAGGTGAGTTTATCAAATGTAAAGATGAAGATTAAAGAATATCAAAGTGGCCGCATGGAGCTCATCAAACGGCATTATCTTATTTGTTAGATCGATCTCAGTGATATATCCAAGTTCCACATGCAAGAGAATAGTTATTATTCAAGATTATGGCTGCCTTCTATTTGCTGCGCACCATCTAGATAACTAGTTTCTTTCCATTACCGGAAGGTCAGAAAGTAATAATAGTCACTCGGGGATGTGTGGAATTTCCTGGAAGTCCCATTCTTCATATGTCAGTAAATATACCTTATATTGTACATTCGTACTGCTCCGCAACTTGTCGTTGAATTTGCAGATTCGACAGAAAAGAGCTTATCATAATCTCTAACGTTTTATTCCTTTCCTGTACTCATTCTATCTGGGAAAAGAATTTGCATGACAAAAATATGTAAATTAATCCAGTTCACCACACCGACAGTCAAGTTGACTTATGAATCATTATAAATAGACCTAAGTGGGAGTTCAAGTTGCTCACAGCAAACCCCTTTCAACTCTCTCAGTTAAGTTGAGTTACACACACTCGAATCAATTTGCAGACTAATATTTTTGTTTAGTAGTTAAGTTAGCTATGGAAATGGTCACAACGTTGGTTAATGAAAGGCCAGTGGTGATTTTCAGCAAGAGTTCTTGTTGCATGAGCTTCACCATTAAGACACTAATATGCAGCTTTGGTGCAAACCCAACTGTTTACGAGCTTGATCAAATGTCAAATGGCCAGCATATCGAAAGGGCATTGCTGCAACTAGGATGTCAACCAAGTGTACCAGCTGTATTCATAGGCCAAAAACTCGTCGGTGGTGCTAATCAGATCATGTCCCTCAACCTCCAGAACGAGCTAGGCCCTCAGCTCGTAAGAGCTGGAGCTATTTGGATTTGGAAGAAAAAATAACTTCCTATATCCAACTCAGATACTACTATAGATGTACGTAGGTTTGCTCATTACTATTTTGTTCTTCCTCCAGTTCTTGTTGTCGGTATCAGTACTATATATAAAATGAAGTATTTGCACGTACGGTTTAGATGCTTCTTTGCGAACCTCTTTAGCACTTCCTTTTGTGGCTGAGAAAAATCACTGTATTTTCCTTTTTCTGAGTTCCTGAAGAACTTATTATAATATGCTGTAACTTATATTAATGTAATATAACTTTGCTAAATAAAAAAAAGGAAGATTTATGTGTACTTGTAAATTGCAATATGTTGAATAATGGATCTAACATTTATTCAGCATCACATAATATATAGTGCCTCAAGAACGTGCACACAAATTAAGATCATGAACAGAAACTGAAGATTTTAAGAAATTAATTTTGATAAAGTAGGACAGTGCATCACCAGAGACTGAACTAGAAAGTCACGATCAACATCATATCTGCAAGAGATTACAGTGTGTTAAACACTTGAATTCGATTAAAAAAATAGTAATCATAATTATCAACTAATTTATTTGTCTTGCAATAACATATTCTTATATGACGAAATGAAAATAACAAGAACTAATTTGAGCTCTATTCAAGCTCCTTATCTTGAGCATTTCTGATGGTAAAGAGGTTTAGCATTACTGGTAAGGTTTAGAGTGCGTCGTCACCAGTCACCTTAAACCATTCTCTCAGACGTATAACTTCTAATTGAAAGTCAATTAAAAGTTTTCAAATAAAACCACTCAGCAGCATCCACTTGAGTTGCCAAAGAGATTAGATACTTCAAAAATTTATTAAAAGCTATGGCAGTATCGTTAAATGCCAATCTATTCGTTACGATTCTGTCAATCAGAGATTTTGTATAGATAACTGATTCGACTCTCTCAATTGACAAGCTGCAATTAACATAGGTCGTCACATCGATAGAATGTTGAACCACGTGATCAAGCTAAGGTGATAGCTAACAGTTTTGGAGACAAAAATAAAATCCGCTATGCGAATTAGATACACTCAACTTGTCTTTCAGACCACGATCCATCTTGATAAGAGATTTGGAGAATAATTTAGATCCAACAATTAGATTGGCATTCGCCATTAGTTGTATGTCAATATACATATGCTTCATGCTTTTCTTTTATATGCAGGAGAATTTTCTCTATCTTGGTTCTATAAAGGCTTTCAAAGAAAGATGCGTCATGTTTTCAATTTTTCTGTGTTCAACTTCAATCAATGAATCATTATTGGAAGAATTTTACAGGTAGAAAAGCATGCATTACAGAGATGAAAAACTCATGATAATCCAATGTTATCAAACTACTAAACAATCTTAAAAAATCTTAGGAAGAGGTAAAAAAAAAAAAACGTGTGGAAAGTGTTTGATCAAGAAAACCCACCCATCATCCATCAGTAAAAGTATAGTTTGCGGCAATAAAAAGATATTCATGAAGTGAAGGACTAACCTCAAGAGTCTGTATTATTATCAATATTCAAAATAAAATCATGCACGCCAATATTTGAATGTCTTACAATATATATATTTACTGATGTGAGCACATTGTGTCATCTCCAATACTAAATAAAAGTAACCCAGTAAACATTTATTTTAAAGTTGATAGAAATGACATTCTAAAACTTCGAAGCACTCACAATTGAGCTCAGAAATTCTACAAAATTTGACTTATACAATCAATCATTCTATATACAGCAACCCGTCCTCACTTGTGAATAAAATCCTTTATAACTACGTTTCCCTGATCTAGGTTTGCATTTCTTCGCCAATTCTCAACTGCTCTGTTAACTGTAGCATTTGCGTGTCGTATCTCCTCAGCAGAGAACTTGTGCTCTATAATTCCCAAGGGTCCAGGCTGCAGAACTTTAACCACGGTTTCCATTTCAGCCTCAAGCTGCCTATAAGATAAGAAAACGAAACAGCAGGTAACAAAGGTTAATAGAAGAAACAAAAAGGCATGAGGCTCTCATAAGAATATAAACTTACAAACATATAACAGGAAGAACATAAAGTTCACCATCAAACATCCCACTTAAAAAAAGATTCAATCATCCATAATAAACAATTTTCTATGATCATTAAACAGAATAGAAGCCACAACAACAATTGATAACTAACATTTAAAACAGGGTACTCATGTAAGCTTAAACTCAGTGCTGATTTACATTTTCTGGAATGGAACTCCCAAATAATGAATTCCCACTTTCAAATTCCAAGAAAACTCAACAGTCCTTCAAACTTTATAAACAACCAAAAACACACCCTTCCTTACAACTTTACAATATGGAACAGGCAGTTAATCCCATCTCTCCACACACTGACAATTCGAGACACACAAAAGTGATAAAATTCCGTCTGTTTAAGAAAGAAATAAGTTTCTGCAATCACATAAATGATAATTTTTTTTACGAAAATTGAAAGCTCATAATCTCATAAACATTAAAACTAGTGTCAAACCACCTAAATAGGATACTGTTAATCGATTAGGGAAGGATTTGAGCAAGAACAAATAATAAATCTCGTATTTGAGTAACTATTAAATTCGTCATCACAATAATAAAATCAGATTCTAATCAGTCTTGATCAACATTGCAAATAATAAGAGAATTGAAAAACAATTATGGTAGGAATTCCGATAATATAAAATTAAAGCACAAAACCCTAATAAAAAGAATGTAATGTATATAAGCAAAAGATAAAACCTGAAGAGCTTTGAAAACGGAAAGGCGTTGCCTAGCCAAGATAAAGATGTGGGCATATCTCTCTGCTATTTACACACCGTTTTGACACACGGAAAGCTCGGTCCTTCGACTATTCTACATTTACAGCGAAGTTAAATCAAAACCATTTACTTGGAATTTATTGATCTTAGATTACTATTAGGGGCAAATTTGCCTATAATTATTAAGCATCTTTTCCTCCAATAAGTCTTTCGTTCTTCACTATTCCTTTTTTTTGTTTTTTCCCCTTTCAGCTTTCGGTTTTCTTTGAACTTCTACGAATCTTCTTACGGAGAAAATAAAAAAAAAGAATTGCTCAACTATATTGGATAAACTCCACTTATTTTTCCACCTCAGCAGATGCTTTTAAGTAGATATTGCAGATATTCGATAATGTTAAAACACAGTCAGATGAAATAAGAAAATAATAATAAAGAGAAATTTTAATGACCAAAATACCCGTCGTTATGGACCTCGGCGCCATATTGACCCAGAAGGAAGGCATAATTTTCAGAGAAGCCCTTGTCAGTATAGGTAATGTAAATATATTTATCAGTAAGCCATGTTAAAAAATTTAGTCATTTGAGAATGCAGTTCGCATCATCAGATTCTGCACTTGATTTGCTACTTTCTGTGCTCCATAGAGATAGATGGAGCAGTAGTATAATTGACGATATTGAACGTCGCCAAAATATTGATTGCATTCAAGTAGAGTTTAATACAGTGATATCCAACTTGTTGTCCAATCTACTAAATGACTAACAACTACTCTTTATCATATCATTATTAAATATGGGTGGATTTGGGAATCGAATGATTTCTCTTTTTTTTTTAACATTTTATTCTTCCTTTTCAGTTGATTTTTTTTTTTTTTTTTTTTTTTTTTTCTGAGTAGAGTGTAATGCAGTACACTTTTGGCTAGTATAAATAGACCTAGTTGGAACTCAAGTTTCTCAGAGCAAAGCCTGAAGTACTCTCTCCCTTCACAAGTTTCACATAAAACTTTGATTTGTAGTTTCTCTCAACTACTGATATCGGCGCCATGGATATTATCAATCGTTTGATAGCAGAAAGGCCAGTAGTGATTTTCAGCAGAAGCAGTTGTTCCATGTGCCACACCATTAAGACGCTCATAAGTAGCTTTGGAGCAAATGCTACTGTTTACGAGCTGGATGAAATTGCAAATGGACGGCAAATTGAGAGGGAGTTGGCGCAGTTAGGTTGTCAGCCGAGTGTACCAGCCGTGTTCATAGGGCAACAGCTTGTTGGCGGTGCTAGACAGGTGATGAGCCTCCAGGTTCTAAACCAGCTAGGCCTGTAACTCAGAAGGGCTGGAGCTATCTGGGTTTGAAACAAAACGAAGTATTTTACTTCCACACTCAACTCTGACTCTATATAAGTAGGCTAAACGAGCTCTAATAAGATAGCTTTTAATTACTTATAATTAGTTATAACGTGACAACGTTAGCTACTCGGAGAGCTTATTAATTACCTAATTTTGTACTTTCTCTTGTATTTTCTGGGTGCTTAAGTCAGGTGGAACTTGTTTTATCTTCCACATATAAGAACATATACAGTTCATGCTAAATAAAGGTTGTTAAACTTGCTATATATGTACTACGTGCTGCAGTTTGATGGCTGAAACCTGAATTTGATTATGAATCTTGCCCATGGTTTTAGTTGTACAATCCTACACTACATTGAATACGTATCCTATGCTATATTCAATACGTATATACATGCATGGGGATGCATTTATGAAAGTAAAATTCGTGGAAAGTTCCTTCTTGGGAAGAAGAGAGTTTATCGGTATCGGTACTGTCGGAACCAATGCAGAGCTCAAATCAATTATGATGCTTGCATTATCTGCGTGATTACTTTTATCTGCTCAACAATTTGTCTATTTATAATTCGAAGTACTCAAGGATATGACCAAAGCTACTCTTAACTTTTCCGGCCAAATAATACGACGAAAGGAAGTTTAGTTAATGCCCTTGATTATGAGGGCAATTAGTCTTGTCAGCCGGTATCGATCGATCGCAGTGCAATTTTATTACCATTTACATTACCTGCATGCTGAGGTAAAATATGTATTCTAATTGATCTTGCTTCTAGAAGGAATATTATAATTTACCTTTAAATTTGGTAACAAGATTAACAAATTTACGGAATAAATTAAAACACGTGTTAATGCACTAATGTTTACTTATTCACAAATTAAACAAGAAAAAAGTATAAATTGCGATAGGAAAACCACGTGATCTAGTAGTAAAGTTGGAGAACAAACAGCTCATCTAGAAGATGCCACTGCCAGCATCCCATCAGGGAATTTTCTGACACTGAAACTTATCTTGTCTTGTAACATAGTTGATCTTTATCGAAGATTAAAAGAATAATCAGAATCCTGTTTTATATATATATATATTAAAAGAATAATCAGAATCCTGTTATATATATATATATATATTGTTGCTTGATTTTGACACCAACGACTTGCACGTGTAAAGTGTTAAGCGGACTTAGAAATTACACGTGATATGAAAATATCAACGAGAGAATAAACAAGAGACAATTTTTAAAGTGATTCGGATGCTAAAAAGCGAATCCTATGTCCACTGTATTTGTATTGATGGATGAATACAGTCAGGTCGCAGGTAGCGAACTGAGTTAGAATTTAGAGAGAGAGTCTGCTCTTGGAAGATTAAAAATGAACCAATCTTGTAAATGAGAGAGGAGCTCTCTATTCATAGTCGAGGGATTCAAGGTAATAATCATGATTCTGCAGCTGGGCAGGAATGGTACAATTCCTAACCTGCTTCCCATTGGCTGACTATACAGGAGATATCCTTAAATCGCGTAGGGCTTGGGCAGGTGGAGAATTCCTAGCCACTCACAAGCCAGGCTTTCACCTGCCACACTGACGACAACCTTACCTCTTCCGTCCTTGCGCGACATGGAAGCGTTTGGACGACACAAAGCCTTCTTGAACTCTAATTTGCCCTTGTTAGCATAAGCTTACGTCAGCCCTGATTTTTTAGGTTTCCCCCCAGTTTTTAAGGTTTAAGGATTGAACCTTGAGAACTTCATGATTATGCCGTGACCTGAATTATCCTGAGCGACGTCTGATTGAGCTGTATGAGACAAGTAGTTAAGATAATGTGAAACTAATGGTTCAACCCGACCAGTGAGTTGTAAGGAGGTCGCAACATAGGTCTCTAAGAATAGCACAAGCGACCTAAGGCGGACTTCTCCCATAGGTTCAACAACCTGGGTTAGACCCAGCTCAATGCTATACCAACATGCTTTGAACTTCATCCGTCGCTCGCGACCTGAAAATACTTAGCACATTTTTGCCAAAAACAAGGGATCACATTGTGTCGAAATCGATATATGGAGAAGAGTGTTTTACTAGAACGACCTCTTCAAATGTTATCCGTTGCGCTTGATAGTTTGTCTGGCCAATAAAATAAACTTTATTCTAACAGACGTGTGTCTTGCACAATAATTGTCAGCCATGCGTGTTAAATGTAAGTCATGCTGAAACGACATTCCCTTTCAGAGCATTAAATGCGAATGAGAGCGCATTCAATATGGAGGAGGTAATCGCGCCGATGCTTGGTTACTCCAATGGAGGGAAATATCGATTGGCATCCACGAAGCATGAAGGTTACTCTTCACATGGATTAAGGACACATGGTCATAATCAATGATGAGAAACGTATCCCGCCCAAGCGTCGCTTGCTAGGAAAACCAATCGTCGTCTTTCCCTCTATAAAATCCTAGGTTCGCCTCAAGTTTTATCACAGAACTCACATTTTCAGAGAAAAAAACAAAACTTTTGCACTCACGAAATCAATCTTTTCTCCTTCCAATTGATGTGCACTCTTTGTTACGATAGGAAGTTTGTCCCCAGCAGTCAAAAGGTAAGGAGGACTTCTCCTTTGCTTTCCTCTTTTATTTATGTTAAAGGCTTGACTTTACGGTAATAGTGGGTATGGACGGCCTGGTAAGCTTACACGATGCATGTTTTTGGACAGTGGTAAAAACAGAACTTTTTCCTTTGTAAAAAGTGAGAACTTGGGTCACGGATTATTGGGAATTCATTCTCAATGGCTTTTAGGGTTTTTCTAGGGTTAAAGAAGGTAAGTTAAGGATTCTTTTGCTCTTCTATGTCATATAAAACACTGTATGGAGACTGAGTCATCTCTGTATGTCGCCCTTTTTTCAGACTTTAGGAGCAATGAACACTTTAGCAACCAGAGTAACCAAAGGGACGACCTTGCAGGTGTTAGGCACCTCAGCAGGTCCCGTGCAAGAGACATTATCAATGGCCACCTAGGACGAGATATAGAAAGTAGTGGACTAGTTCGCGCTTAACGTAGATGTCTACTAGCATAGGACATACACAGCTCGGAATCCCCTAAAGGGAATGGTCGCGATCTCTAAGGCGATTTTTAAGTATGTGGCGTTGATACCTTTTCATCCCTTCATCAGGTCGATCTTTGACCACTTCGAGGTCGCGCCATTACAATTGACGCTTAATGCGGATATATGATAGTGATTGCTATTTTATGTATATCTCATGTGGCAAAAATGGTCTTGGCGAGCTGATAGCGCTGGAGCTCATATGCGCTTACTATTTGAAGAAGAGCAAAGATAAAGACTCTTATTACCTCTCAAAGCGATCTTTGATCAAGGGAGAAATATTTGGCTACCACAGTAATGTCGGGCTTATGAGACCCAATTTTTCTTTTTTGATATGATGGTGTTTGTCAATTTAGGAAGCTGAGTAGGTTTTCCTTTCCTTTGATTTGCGAACTGTCTTTTTTTCTTCAGCTTCTCATCTATAGGTGAAATTAACAAACTTTTTGTCTCTTTGCAGAAAATAAGACGACCAGGTTGACGGCTTTGGCAGACTTTAACCGAATTGTGATGTTCAATCATCTACCCAAGCAGAGTCACGACACAAGACTACTCATGACTACTACCAACTTGCGAAAGTACAGTTTTTTAAACCCAGAAGCATCTTTGGAACCCCAAGCCCATAAGTATATTCACACTTAGGATCCTTCTACCCCCTCCCTCTTACCCCCCCCCCCCCTTTTTTGGCAGAGGTGACCTTTTCGCAAACATGTTTTCATGGCGCGCAGTGACCATGCCACCTAGGGTTCCAAAGCCATCGTTGAGGACTAAGGGGTTCGTATTTCCTTGAGTTGACCCGATCGAGCTAGCCGAGGTGACCCCCAGTGATATCCCCATAGAAGGGATATAGATTGGTGCCGAAAGGTGAACATCCATGGAGCGACGTGGAGAAGGTTCTCGGACTGCGGCTACTCGAGCTACGAAGCAAAAAACCATGGGCTAGAAGACCAAAAAGAGGAAGTAGTTGCTTTACCGAGGAGGAATCGGAGTCCGAGCCAAAGGGCTTTGGGATGCTACCTAAACAGCCTTACTAGGCTTTTCGCTCTAGAGTGCCCCTGAGGAGTGCCCCTGGCACTTCGACAGTTCTCTAGAGCACGCGCAGAGGAGCGGGGGAGGTCGCGATTGCTCAAAAGAGAGCGGGCAAGCAAAGGGTCGACGAGGTACCTGTTCCTCCGGGACCTGTCCCGCCTGTGCTGGATTCCATGGGGCAACTGCTGGAGCACCTGCAGCTGGTGGCTGGTGGCTGGTGGCTGGTGGTGTATACCTTGTTGGAATGCCAACTAGCTACAGCCTTCAAGGAGTTTGTGGCTTCTCGGCCCGCGGACTTGGTGGCTACCGCACTTCAGTTGCAAAGTCAAGTAAAACAATTTGTTCTTGTCGAGGATTTTTTAGTATCAACTGATTTTCTAAATTTTATTATTTTGGGGGAAAATGAGGCTAATTCTTGTTTCTTTCCTCATACAACCCCTGCTCGCCTTACACATGGCCCAACAGAAGATCGATATGGACTTTGTTGGAGGATTCCATGAGCTGAGGGAAGAGAATACCAAGCTGAAACAGGACTTTGCAACTCTGGATGCAGAGGCAAAAGCGGTCCACATTTAGGTGAATTAGTACTTAGTAGAGAGAAATTATGCCTTTCGCACAATGGACTTCTAGAAGGCCGAGCTTGAGAAGAAAGGTGAGGAGAATAAGGAGCACCAAAGGACAGTGGCCAAACTTACCAAAGAGTGTGGCAAGAAAGAGAAGGAGTTGAAGGCGAACTCTGAGCATGCCAGGAAGGCGAAGGAGGATAGAGCTCAACTGTAGGAAAACTCTAAGAAGCAGAAGAGGGCTTTGGAGGTGGATCTCAAGCTGCTCCAAGGGTGAGTCACTTCATTAACTGAACAGATAAAGCAGCAAAACCTTGAACTCGAGAGGAGAGCTGTTAATTGGGCAATAAAGGCCATCTACAGCTTGCAACCGAGGAATCCAAAAGATGGACCTCTCTGACCTCTCGAATGAATACCAGGACATTCTTGCCTCCATGGCCCAAGCTGATGATGCCGAGGAGGAAGAGGGACAAGAGCCCCCTCCGGAGGATGACCAGTTGGAGGCATACGTCCCTAGGGACCAAACAGCTGATCGGGAGGTTGGGGAACAACCAGCAGATATAGAGGTCACACCTAGAGAGCTTGGAGACGGGGACT